ACAACAAAAAATATATAGTAAATACCTCCACTGTTTACTATGTTTTGTCACTGGTTCTTAGGCGGATCACGAATTAAATGTGCTATAAAATTATATATATTTACAGTATATTAGTTTAGAACAAAAATTATAATTTGATTATAAAATAATATTAACTCTAAATATTTTTTATAAAAGTATTATATTGTGTTATAATTAATAATTTGTATACGCTATTTTATTAGTTGATTGTTATATATTAATCTATATAGTCAATTATAAATTTTATACTATATATCAACCAATTACGAGAAAGTTAGCCTATAAACATTATCCAAACTATATATTTTATTATGCAATCTAAACATCTAAACGAATTAAAAAAAAAAACATCAAAAATCGATCTGTTATACACATATATTAAGTTTAATTTAAAAAATATGTTAGTGCTTAAACAAAACTTACAATATGATTTAAAGCTTAGTAAAGCTTAGTTTGTTCGGTTGAAGAGAGTTGGCTGTATTAATAAAATTTGGCGATTATAGTTATTTTATTCTTACGTTATACGGACCGACGGATTTACTAAATTTGTATTTCCGCATATTTTATTGGTTGAAATATTTCATCCGAATACCTTTGAGATCAATAGGATCCACAAAAAAAACGGAAAGTGTTAGGAATGCTTTTCGGAACTGTCACCACAGTAATAAGCATATTCCTTATCGCGCGCGTTTTCACGCTACACCAGATCTTGTATCCTGATTGGTAGATCAGGGAGTAGCGATGAAAATCTAAAAATTAAATATATACAGTACAGTATATATATAAAAATACTTTATTTTGTGTTAAATTTGAGAATTCATTTTAACTCATTAATAATAAATAAATTTACAAATTAAGAAATAATAATTGATAAATTTTGTAAATCCTCGGTATTTAATATTAATGATCAGAATACAGAACTTACATAATGATCTACAGTTTCCAATAAACAAAGTAATTACGCGACATTTTTCGCGAACTTCATGTGAGTATATATACATATATGTGCAGAAGAATAGTAGTGGCTAAACCAATGGGACGGTCACTATTGTTAGCCTTAAATTACAAGTTTGTAATCTAGTCTTCGTTAACTAGAAGAACTCTACGTATTGTACGTATCTAGAAAGTAACAAGAAGTACAACATAGAGATGATGTTAGTTCTTGGCTCATGACTCATCAATTATTTAATTTATCAATCTTTTATTATGTTGCGATGGCTTATATTACATATGATCGAACGAACATTACTGATAGTGGCTGTGCAATAATTTCGACCAATGTTTTTTCTATGTAACCAATAAAATGAACCCACATAAGTAAAAATATACTATTTTTTTAATTTAATATATGGCGATAAGGGTCTCGATGACAAAATCATTTCTGATGTTAACGTTAAATAACCGATTATCGTTTACGTTAATATATATAGTACGTGTAATGATGTGCAAGTCAATCAGTCAATCAGTTTAGTAATTTTTAGTATAAGTGGCAACACTATTTGGTTTATCAATTCATATATATCCAGTGCAAACTATAAATTATCTGTAAGAAAAATTTTTTTTTTTTAACTACACAGAACTCTTTTTCTGCAAAATAATAAAAAAAAAGAAAAAAAAAAAAAAAAAAAAGGCTGCTTATTAAATCTTTGTCGATACAAAGGATGTCTCCGTCATTATATAGGAATCGAAATGTAGCCGGTTGGAAAGACTTTCGTAAGTTTTCGGGGTTAGAACAAATTCAAAAGGCATACGCTTCTGGGGATTATACAACTGCGATCGAGATTTTAAACTCATTATTGAATGCTGGCCAAAATTCTAACGGTGAACCTGGAGTTTCACACGAACACGTCCTCCTAGCCCGAGCAATGTGTTTTCAACAACTTCGTGAATTTGAACATGTTCTCGCTGATACTGTGGAGGTTGTCAGGGCGGTCAGTCCACCAAATAATTCTTCTCAGTCAAACGGATCTTTAAACGGACTTAGTGACAATTATCAGTCTATTGACCAATACATTTGTTGTCTATTGGCGCTTTGGCTTCGAAGTCTGGCATTTGAGGCTCTTGAAAAGTGGGAGCAGGCTAAAAATGATCTTGAATTATTAAAGACACTAATCCTTGGAAAACCCATAAAGAGTATCATGTCTGGCTCAGATGGTGTCCTTTCTTCAATTATACCTAGTATGGATCCGTTGATCGTCCTATCAAAATCTTCTCTTCCTACTATTAATACGCACTGTGTCGTCGATCGCCTTCGCCGAATCTCTGATTTAGTTGCGAAAGAAAATTCGCGTCGTAATAGTGTAACTGAGGCGTTTCGTTTGATTGACGATGACTCGAGTGCTTATAGCGACTTAGCAAAAAAATTTCATTATCGTCTACTTCTCAGGCGACCATTACATCCATATATTCATTTAAATATGTGGTATACAATGGATCTTATGTTTGTTAGCGAAATGGGCTTATTCAAAAGGGAGGATATGTACGGTGTGGAGGGTTATTCTCTGGGAATCAAGATGTTGGAAATTGGAAACGATGATGCAATTGACGAATTTGAAGTCCAGGTCAGACCAATGAGTCCTGAAGCATGTGAATGGAGTGGCTTAACTTCCACCGATTGGGCTGGAGTGCAAAGTGGCGGTAAAGGTGGATTGGAATTTCGTATTGTTCCCGCTAGTTCTCGTTCCAATGCTTCTGAAAATGGATCTGATGCAAATAATGCGCCCATATCTAGGGGCAGAAATAAAAAGAATAAGTTATATTCTAATAATATCCAAAGGTTCTTATATGTATATCCAATAATGAAGATTTTATCTAATAATAATAATAGCAACCACCATTGTGATGACGATAGTAATAACATGTTCACCAATCGAACAAAAACAGTTAATGGAAATTATCACGTGAACGAGCATCTACTTGTTCCTTTGGCCATTGGCCCGATTGATTTGATGGACTGTCATTGGCACTCTGATTCTTGTGCTCATCATCATACAGTCAGTGGTATCTCTTGTATTTCGGCCGAATCTCAAACTGTCGTTTCAGCGAATGATCCTAACTTACAAATTTCTTCATCTTTGTGGAGCTCTTCTCATTCTTGGTCGTCTTCGCCACAATGTCCACCTCAATCCTCTATGAAAACAAAATGTCTTTGGAGTACTGATGAATACATTATTCATAGTTATCGAGCATTTTTCCTCCCAAATGGCAAACATTTGATTATTAAAGAATTGTGGGATGTTGGTATTCCTGGAAAAGTGTGGGATTCTGCGTTTGTAATGGTTAAAATGATTAGGGACATGATTCTTAAAGACCTAAAATTGTTTTATGGTAAAAGAATTTTGGATTTATCAACAGGGACTGGTTTTGTTGGTCTTTATTTGGCTGCCTTCATGACCAGTCTGAAAAAGATAGGAATAAAGAATGGTGTAAAGACACATGTTATCTTGACCGACTTGGATCATGCGTTAAACCTTATCCGTGACAACTATTCCCTGAACAAGGATGTCTTGGAAATGATCAACAATGTATCGATCGAAATTGGGTCTTTGAAATGGGGTGACACGTCGAAAGCCGAACAGCTGGATGTTATTGATTATGTGCTTGCTTCTGACGTTGTTTACGAACCCGGTAGGAAATTGTCGATGATAATTATTGACTTTATGTGTGTATTTAATGATAATTGATCTCTAACTGCGACCGCTATTTTTCTTTATTTCTCTTATAGATTTATTTGACTCTTTAATACAAACGCTAGTTACCGTATGTACTCCCGGACACACAAAGATATTCCTCGGTTACAAAAGACGAGGATTGACTAAGGAAGAGGAAACAAGTTTCTTTAGTAAACTGCAGTCCATGTTTAGAATGTCTTTACTTCCGGACCTGGAAAATGTTGCGGACGAAGGCCAGATCTATATCTACGAATTGTGCAGATGATTTTATATACGGTAGGACCATTGGAAATTTGAGGCGAATTATCGTATTCGGTACACTATCCTTTTCTCACGGTCTTTATTTTTATTTATTTATTTATTTATTAACATTTCACCTTACTTATCAATACTGATGTATAAATATATACTCTTTAATAGATAATTCGATGCGAATATTGTGTCGAAAATTGATTGGCCCGTCTTTCGTTTTACTGCGGATAAAAAGCTCAACTTAAAGAAATAAATATCTTACTATTTTACTGTCAGGAAGAAAGCTTTAATGAAGATTTTAATATCTGTGTTTATATACTTGTAGTATTGCTAATTTAGAAATAATTGTTAATCAATCTCTATTACTATGCTTGTGGGCAAATTCTGCTTGTAAAATATAACACGAACTGGATATGTTAGAAAATGTAAATGTAGAAAATTATTGAAAAAGATAATTTGGTGTTCTAATTTTGAAAAATCAAACTTTGACAAATATATTTTAACGTGTATAATAGATTGATTCGCGTTCTCTAAAGTCAACTTTTCGAAAATTTCTTATGGAATAAGCGGTCGTTGATTTTTTCAAAGGCAAGGTTGTTTTTTTTAATCTTATTTAAAAGGTATTTACTAGATTTATAAACCTTGATCCTTTTTAAGAAACTTCTAGTAATTATTGGTAAGTTGGCACAAGTTATTATTTTACTAACCAAATATTTTATTTAAAACCGAATATTTAAGTTTTTATATAATAATATATATAGAAACATAATAAATATTTTATAATATTATATTACTATATAATTTGATATCGTGTACTGAGTTAATATTATATTATATATTGGCTTTTAACATTTATAATAAAATTAATATATTGCTATGTTTTTAATAAAAATTCTACGTTTTTGTTTTGTTATAAAAATTTATTTTTTAGTATAAGTAGTTAGTATAAATTAAAATTAATATATATATATATATTAGAAGCTTCAAGCTAGTTTTTATAATAAGTTTTTAATATATAGTATTATTATTTTTATACTAAATATTATATTTATAAAATTCAATTAATTTTTTTAATAAAAATTTTAATAATTATCTATAGTAATTTAATTTTTGTTAAAATTTAAAGTTAGAGTGCCTAATATTTATCTAGCTGCCCTAATAGGTGCCTAAATATATTCTAGTTGCATCACTAGCACATTATGCCCAAGACCAACACTAGTGGTTAGGGTAACTTCTACTCTGAAGAGACATTGCCAAACCACTTACTGGTGGAAGAGAATCAGACTTATATCTAATGCTACTTCTGTATCTTAAAACTACTATATCTAGATAGATTATATTCTCTGCATTATTTACCTTTTTGCTTTTTTATAACTCTCAAATTGGTAACTTTCAGATTATATATCTTTATAATCTTTCAGTTTAGTATGCTATATTATTGTTTTTTCTAAAGCATTTTAATATTAGTTCAGAATCTGTAAAAATTTATATCTTAAGCAAGAAACTGTTGTCTAGTTAAATTCACTATATAACAAAGTTGATATTTTATTATTAAATATTCTTTTTTACCTATCTGTTTAGATATTATTAACCTATATCTCAAGTTAATTTTTGCTGCTACAGCTTAATTACAGATGTTTAGGTCTTAATATTATATAATTATTTAGTATCTTCCTTTGTTCTTTTAAGTACTACCTGCTATGATAAGGTTTAGAATATATTTTACAAATATATAGAACAATTTTGATTATATCTAAAGAATTACACTGATCCTAGTAATGTTATACTACTATTTAATACTTTACTTTTAATATGTTGTTATATAAGATCAAAACAATTCTAGTTATATCTAAGAAGTTATATCAACCTCAGTAATACTATACTACTATTTGTATTATAAACCTTAGAAGTTGGTAGATTTTAAATTTGTTTATTATAGATTTCTATATAGATGTAATCAAAGTCTGATTTAGTATTTTTATATATACTCAAAATGTTAAACAATCTCTATATTCTTTGTTTTTTATAGTCTTGTTATTCTGCACTGTCAGAGGTGTTTCTAATTTTGATAAGATTAATTTGTTATTATAGCCTATCTATAGATCACTACTTTTTTTTTTACTTTAACTTTAGTTAGATAATTTTTGCAATCGATTATAATCGATACTAATCAATTGCAATCATTTAGATTTAAATAATTAAAATCGATTATAATTAATATAAATTAATGCTATATACTCCTTCAAAAATAATTGATATATATCTTATTTAAAAATTTTCTGATATATAACCTTATATTACTTCAATTGAAGATCACTAATATTAATGTATACTATACTACTTGCATTCTAATTCTATAGATAATCTAATAGAGTTTTTATACTACTGAGTTACTCTAAGAAGGATGTAGTACATACCCCTAATCCTTCTATATTTTACATATTTTAGATTAGATTTCAAATACTTTCTGTAGCAGCCAAAATTTATTAGCAGTTAGAGCTAACTGTTAAACTGTATAATTCTAGTATTTGTATTTTTATAAAGTTTATTCTGATTTTGATACTTGTATTAAACCAATCTTTATACCGATCTCTTTTAAACTTCAAATTAGTTAGTCTGAATGGGTTATTGTATTTAGGCTTTAAGTGCCTTTCAGTTTTACTTCACTTGGTTTCAAATTTTGTAGTATAGAACCTTTTCTTTCGATACAACTCTGGCAGCTAGGTTGGTAGACTTTTTTTGTATCAGGGTTTTTATCTGGTTCTTTGGTCTCTGGTTTTGGCTTTTTACAATATTATCAAAGATTTTTACCACCTTTTTGCTTAAATCTTGTCAAACAAGTTTTAATTACAGATAATATACTTAACTGATTGTAAAATAAATATTACTAGTACACAAACCTATTTTTTAAAAATGTTTTTGGTAAAATTTGAACTCTAAATCTGCTGCTTGAAGATAATAACTTAACTACTATTCTAAATCAACACACTCTTATTATATATTTAATAAATATTTTTTAGCAAAAATTATAAAAAACAAAATAGAATAAAAAGAAATATAAAAAAGAAAGATCTTTTAAAACAAATAAATAAGAAAACAATTAAACTAATAATAGAAATCTAAAATACAAATATTCAAAACTAAAAAACCTATTTATCAAATTGGTATTTGCTAATTAGTATATTTTTTTATATAATAATACTAATATAAAAACTAAGTTAATTATATTTTAGTTTTTTTTTTTTTTTTTAATCTTCAAAGGTGAGGCCAATTATATTTTAGGTTTAAAAATTATATATATAATATATTAATAGATTTTATATCTCTTATTTTCTTTATCATTCAACTTTAAATCTATATTCTATTCTAAAATATAATAAATTATTTACTTTACATATTTTTATTGTCTTTATTTTATTTACTAAATTAGTAAGTATTATTATTTGAGTTATTAAACTATACAAAGTAATATTTCTAAATAGAAAAAAATCCTATATTGTTATTTGTTTATTGTAGTTATATCATAGAGTTACTGAATATATATAAAAACAATACTAATTTTTTGATGAGAAGTAATTAAATCTTTTATTTTTATTAAAGTAGTGAAAAAATATTATAGTCTTACAAGTTTCTAACCAAAAAAGGGTTTTCAAAAGTTTATTATAATCTTTTATCTTTTTTTTTTTCACTTAGACAAGATCGTAGTAGTGATTGATATTTATTAAAGTTTCAATCCTGTGGAAGATTACAAGTATATCACTATAACAATAAATCTAAGATCCTAACATCCTAAGGCTGCTCTACTGAGTGTCTATTAGCGACCTGCCGCACTGGCGAGATAAAACCAAAAGGTAATACCCTAACCAGAGAGCTCATCCAACTCACCACCCTACAATAGGATACCACCAATCTGATGATATCTTCTCGTAGAGAAGTGAAAAAAAAAGAAAAACTATATAAAAAAAACAGAGAGGTATAAGGGAATATGATAAAAAATACAAATAAGAAAATAAAGGAGTAAAGGGAAAAAGAAAAAAAGAAAAAACAAAATAAAGTGAGCTATTTCACCCACATCAGATGGTCACAATTATAAGCCTGTGTCGGGTTTTGTAAAAATTATATACTACTATTTAAACTAGTCTCTACTCTAATTTAACTAATTACTATATTTAAGCAAAAACCTAAAAGGAAAAAAAAGCTTTCAACATCAGCACCGTACTCTAGAAATGATACAGGATGTAGGTGAAATTTTCCAGATTACGTGACCAATTGATTTCTGGTCTACGTCGGGGTCATGTGATCATGTGATCTCCGTGAACGACCAATCGAAGTCGGTCACAGGATCGACCAACTTTTATTTTAAAAAAAAATTAATTAAAAAAAAAATTTAATTAAAAAAAAAAAATTAATTAAAAAAAAATGCGTTAATTTATAGCGGCCCGGCCCGTCGCTGTAGCATCCCGCTCAGAACCAATAATTTTATTAATATATTTAACTTTCACTATTACAACATTATTACATTACATCATAAATTCATCAAATTCATGCACTTTAGCAAAAAAAAACCTCCACAAATTTCGCTCTAGCAAAAAAAAAAAAAAAAAAAAAATTAACTACACTCGAAACCCAAAAGGTTTTCCGATACTAATTCCAACATTTCGGCGAAACTAACTTGGACCAAAGAAAAAAAAGGAATCAGCAAAGTGGAAGTGAATAACAAAAAAAAAAAAAAAAAAAAGAGCCAAAACTTATCTAACCAAGACGTAAAATGGTCTCAGTACTGAATTCATGTTCCGGCGAAACCTAAAGAGAAAAAAAAAAATGAAAAGAATGAAATCAGTGAAATGAAAAACAAAAAAAAATAAAAAAATAAAAAAAAAATAAACAAACCTTACCAGACGTTCCCGATACTGATTCCAACGTTCTGGCGAAATCTACTTGAGCTAAAAAAAAAAAAAAGAATAAAGCCAGTAAAGTGAGACAAAAAAAATAAAGAAAAAAAGAAAACAAAACTTATCCAAGACATTCTCAGCACCGAATTCACG